ATTATAAATGTATAAAGCCAGACTTCCTTTAACTTTTTCTTATGTATTTTGATATTTCGTAATAATAGTTTCTAATAAAGAAAAGTTTTAGTGTAATTGCCCCAGAGGCGTTTTTAGTTTTAATATGACAACAAAACTGGAAGTCAAGAGAAAGTTGAGACAAAAAAATTATATTGAATGGAAAATTTTGCTTATCTTTATTCTGTGCCAAAGATTGCTGTGCTTAGTCATGATATATAAATTTTGATCATTTCTAATAATTACGTTTTCAGAAATTTATTTTTTTGGTTGATGTTGAAAGCTAAAATATACAAAATAGAATGAAAAAACGTGTAGGCTGGATTGTGACTAGTTTTAAGAAAAATTTGGGTTTTTTCTTGTGAAATTTTTGAAAACGTAATCACGAATCCTATTAAATATTAACTTAACTATCGTTAAAAATGCTCCACGAAATAATCTTATGAAATTATAAAAACGCAATTGTAACAAACTGTCGAAAAGCCACCCTATGATAATAAATGAGTTACTGATATGAATTTTTGCCTCTCATTACTTTATATTATTATACAGGGTGACCCAGATGTAATTATGAAAATTTCACTATGGTTTTACTATTTATTTCCAATTAATATTATCATTCAGTATGGAGACTATTCTCAAGATTGGTTATTTCGTCAATTTTGTTGTTATATTTAAGATGTTCAATGTTCTTCAGCTTGTTGAAGCAAACCTGCTGTTCGCAAATGAATCACCACACCTGCTGTGATGGCAGTTTGCCGTTCTTCAAAAATAAGAGCCATTCCGAAAGAGGAGTGTATAAAAGTGATTCAAACCTTTGCCAGACGAGTACAGGTTTGCTTGCAACGAAATGGTGGACATTTGGAACACATCTTAGGAAAGCCATAACTTGACTAAAATTTGACAGAAATAGCCGAAACTCTTGTGAATAGTCTTCCATAAACTGAATGATGTGTGGTTGTAATTTGAAATAAATAGCTTTTTAATTAAAGCCATAATTGAAATTTTCATGGGTACTCATCTTTTTGGGTCACCCTGTATAATATAGTTTTACAAATAAGTTTATATAAACAAACCCGAGTGAGTTTTATTTAACACTTGTACAAAGCATGCAAATATACATGATACACACATTTTCTTTGCATCGTTTTGTAATTCTTGAATATCCCACGATTGCAACTGTGCAAACATTTGTTAACTTAAACTACCACCATGTTTTTTAATCGAAAATAAGCTTGTTTATGGCTTTCTTTGCTTGTCAGCTAATCAGGTGATAAAATATTTACATTAATAAAATATTTAAGGATCACTATAATAAAGGCAATAAAAAAAAGGACTTATGGCTATTCTTTAAGTCTTTCCCAAAAAGCTTAAATTTCCATGATGTTTTAAAAATTATAGATCAGTAATCAAGAAAAAATCTGGAGGTCTACGCTGGAATAATAATCATTGTTTAAGTAAAAGAAGGATTGTGTAAGGTTTTTAAAATAAATAAAAGAGGTAAAAACTGTTTATCATTGAGTGAAACCTCGAGTTACAACGAGAAAAAAACACGTGAAAACGCCAGGATACTTACGAATTCGGTAGAGCAAATAAAAATTCCTTAATCCATCCACATTGTTTAAGAGCATCCTGTGAGGACCATGATTCTATAGGACTTCCTTCAAAACTAGTGGCGATCAAGCCAATTGAGTAGTTCAATGTCTTGTACAGCTGCACTCCATAATACCAACATACGGCAGAAAAATATGCCCACGAGTTTCCACCTACCGTTTCTAATAACACAAACGATAAATTTTACCATAAAAAGGCGTTATATTATAGAAAAATCTCATGAATCAAGCGTGCTGTTGAATTTACTGGTACTAAACCTTGCTTTAATTATTTTAAAATAAGAAAATGTTTGAGTAAGAAAAAACTTATAATATTTATTTGACATTACACATCACACACTTTTACAGTATTTGTTACAAAAGTATGTTTATCGAATTTTTATTCATTGTTATCAATTTTGATAAATAATTTAATGGTGATTAAATGTTGTTCAAAAGGCTTAGCTCAAATAAAATCACAATGTAAAGCAGGGGAGTTGAAAGACAGCTCACGTATAAAAATAAAATCACTTTGAAAAATACTTGAAGAATAATCAAATTGGTTCCATTTGTATCGTGAAGTATTCTTTTGAAATATTTCTTTTCAGGTAGCATCAACAGCACGATAAATAAGGAGGATAAAATTTATATATGCAAGTTATAATCTCTGAGAAACAATTGATCTTAAAACAAGTTAATTCTCCCAAACAAGACGATATGACGACACTGGTAGGTAGCGACGACACTGCTACTTTTCGATAGTACTTATATTTTAAATTTGTAAGCACTTCTTTGTTTCTATGCAAACTGTCTCTGAAATTGCATATTGCATATAGATTAACAAAATGACTCTCCGATTCAATCAACCCTTTGTAAATTTTCTTTGCCTATTTTTTTTGACAGTATGATAAATACCTGGTGAAGCAACGGACCAAGGCAATTCTATTTTGCATAACTCCGTCCTAGGCATAACACTGCAATCAAGGCCTGCAGAAAACAATCGTATCTTGGGATAATTAATGGAATCATTTATTGCCTCCGTTCCATTATCCGACTAAATAAAAAAAATAAATAATAACATTAAGCATTTCTAGATACATACTTAGTGCTTATAACATTGCAAGGTCTTCGATTAGTGTGTGTTAAACGGTTCAATATCTTCTCGTATATGTTAATCAAACATAGAATGCTTTTAGTAAGATAATTTTCTTATAGAAGGGACAAGACAATGTTTCTTGTTTTAGGAAAAATTTATTTAAGATAAATTTTCTTCCTTAGAGCATTTTGTTGTTTAAGAAATTTAGTAAGATAATTTTCTTATAGAAGGACAAGATAACATTTCTTGTTTTAAGGAAAAATTTACTTAAGATAAATTTTCTTGCTTAGAGCATTTTCCTGTTTTAAGAAATTTCTTAACATAATTTTCTTGTAGAAAGGACAAGATACTATTTCTTGTTTTAAGGAAAAATTTACTTAAAACTAGTATTTTTTTTGAAATACCTTTTAAAGAATTTGCAGTTAAAATCCTAAACACCTAATCATGTCTCTAACATCGAACACTAACCCCAACGTTTCATCCAAATCCTGACTCTACTTTTGAACTCTTACTCCAAGAGACTTGCACTGTTTTTTTTTACATTTTAGCAAAAAATTTTCAAAAGCGAGATATTCGACATTGCAGTTATTCCCGTTTTATATTTTAATGTGCTTAAAACAAAAAGATTAATCTGAACTAGTGTTTTATAAATTTCATCCTTTATGCTAAAATCAACCAAATGGCAAATTTTGTTACCAAGTCCCCTTTTTTTTACCAAGTCCCCTTTTTCAGCATTGCCATCAAAAGAAAATATTGCACTTCTATCATCATCGGTTTCAGATGAGTCAGAAGAGCTTATAACATGGTGCTTCTTCCTTTTTTTCAACTCTGGAGAGTCTGAAGCCATTGGATTTCCATTGGAATCAAACACCTTAAAAATAAGCATTACAAGTTTAAACAGTTCTAAAAAACACTAAACGTTTGCTGGTATAAACATAACATTCTGAAAAGTTTTTAGAAAGAGTTTGATCTAATAAGTGCTCACGTACGTACCATGCCAGAAAGTTTGGACCAAATTGCAATAGCAGCACGCTTTTGTCGGAGATTCTTAAACATGTCACTAAACTCTTCTCTAGTTAGTGTTGGAAAGAGTTCTCCATCAATCTCTGCAGCTGAGAAGGTACGTGCATATATTATCGTAATTAGATTTTGCAAAGCCTAGTTGCAAGTTTGTAGCTAAAAATCCACTTTCATTATCAAACAATCTTCCCAAGCTCTTGCTTAAAGCTTGAATGTTTTTACATACGGTAAGTCTGCTATTATTAATCACGTGAAAGCGCATGCGACCTTTGCCCGACCTTGGCATTATTTTTGGGAAAATAACTATTTCCTTTATCTGCGTTATAAATATAGTTTTTTTCTTTTAGAATTGGTAATAAAAGAATTTCTTGATTGATATCTCGTGAAACAGTGTATTTTTGATTATTTGATATTTTTTGAGTAAACAACGTGGGTGTCGTACGCACGTTGTTTACTCAAAAAAAATGCCGATCAAGGGTTAACGGTGTCAATGAATTAAAGCGTTATATATATGAGAAATGTCCTAGAATATTTCAAAGATAACTGTTATGTCCAGGGGCGAAACTAGAACGTTAATTGGGGGGAGTAAATATTCATGTATTCAGCTCTGCCCTGCTGACTTCTTTTGAAATTAACATCGCAAACAAAAGAAATCAGCAGGGCAGAGCTGAATATATGAATATATACCCCCCCAATTAACGTTCTAGTTTCGCCTCTGGTTATGTCTAACTTGGGAGAAATTTTCCACTGCATATCAAAATTTTAGCAATGTCTTCTAGGTTTTCATAAAAAGCGTCATACTAACATATAAATATTTACAACAACTACCTTGAAATTTTTCAATGACTTCATTATCCACTCCATTCTTTTTCAATAACGTGGACAATTCAGAGGTGGTTAATTCTTTAAATGAAGGCATTGCAAGAAGTTCGGTGCAAATGTTACGACTAGACTACAAAAACGATCAGCAAGTAAGTGAAATGACCATTGAGTTCTATAATAACTCGAGCGGCTAACTTTACTGGGGCGAGGACGCCAAAACAATGGCGGCCAAATGACGTATTTCCGCTGAAATGATCGCTTTGCAGAAAAATAATATTCCCGACCTCCCACTGATGTCTATAGTAAATTATAAAGAAAAAAATTTCTTTAAGAAAAATTTGAGCTTATTTACCTATTAGAGTACAGAATGGAGATTTATCATATGCATTATTGCTGCTTTTTTAAATAATAGACCATAAAAAAAAGATAAAATAGACCATTGCGGCGATTGCGCGTGCGCGGCTGGCTTGCACAGTGATTCACGTGCAAGGCATGTGTTGCGCTTTTCCATATGAAGTGACTTAGTGAGTTTTAGAAAAATGGCTTGTACTTGCTACATAATCCACTACCCAAGAACCATTGTCAGGTAACTGCTTAGTAGAAAAACAAACAGTAGAATTATACAAAATTATATTATGGCTAATGGTAAATGGCATGCCAATTATTTTTAGTAATGTAATTAACATTGTGAAACCTTATTGTTGTGATATTTAGTCTAGTACAAGGCAATGTACAAGTTTCACAATTAATACTTTTGCAGGCTTGGCCCAATGGTACGATCTTGGTGCATGAGGTTTGAGTCAAAGCACACATACTTCAAGCAAGTTGCTGTTTCCCTTGGAAATTTCATCAATGTGCCATTTACAGTTGCTGAGAGGCACCAGAAGCTGCAAAGTCTTTACTACTTTTATGGGGAAGATCAAAAGTCCAGTATTGTGAAGCCTCTCGAATGTGGACCAGGTATATACATTACTTAAATATTCAATGACAATATTTATTTAACCTGCAGAGAAAATTAGCATAAGTGATAAATGTTTGTGTCTTTGAGGTTCTACAATCTAAACATGAAATGGTTCAATGCCCAAATTCCCTGAAGTCTCTGCATTTACATTTTTATCAGCTGTCAACTTTTGGAATAATTTTTACTTGCTGCACATTCTTTTTTTCATTGTCAAGGTTCGCAACATTCAGTTTTACATGATCCATCAAAAGAAGAATTAAAACAAATTGATGGTCACTTGAATGATCAAGATCTTGTGTACAAGTAAGTGGACATACATTGTCATGTATCATCCATGGGAAATTTTTCTACAAGCATTGGCTCTGCTTGGTGTGCAATATCTGACCTATGTGTGCTCATTAATTAATGAAAATTTTAAAGTATGTACTATTTTTTTATAGGACTTCCTGGGTAAAAATCCTTGGAACACTCTACAAAATTGGGGCAATTATCCATGTGGGCTTCAACAATTTTCTGCCTGTTTTTGCTGAGATTAAATCAATCCATGTTTTAAACTCATCAATTGAAAGGGTGTATTTTGCTGCTGAAATTTTGTACACAAAAGAGTTTTGTGAGCATTACCGTACCTATGTTGTAAACAGAACAGTACATCCTGAAATTCAGTTTTACCCACAAAGATCGTTGCAGTACTATCTCCCACTTCACTTTCTGAATCCTGTCTGTTCACATAACCAGACACATGTTTTGCCTAAATGTGATATTCACAATTACAATTAATACCAATATTTACTGATTTAAAAGATGCAGTGTGTATGTTCATAATAAATATCATCACATTGTGAAATATTGCCTATCAAAAATTTTTTGAGAACTAAAATATCATATCCTTGTCATAATATGTGATTTAGTTTGTTCAAAAGCAATTAAAACTGCTAAAATGCAAAAAATACATTCGTACTAGACAATACCTGACATAATTTGTTTTCTGCCGTTCACTCCTACGACAATTGAATCACTTTAAAACCATTACAAACAAAGCAAATGGTCGTCTTCAAAACTCTATACTTTGAATGATAATAGAATATTATTTTTCTGCAATATCATAGTCATCTACGGCCGTTATCATAGTGAAAACAGCAATCGAAACGCGCGTGCATCATGAAATAGTTGGCCGCCATATTTGTATTGTGTCACCCGATTCGATGCAGTCATCAAGTTGCTCTCGAACCAATTTGGCACCAGTTGTAGAGCAAAAACAACCCTCATGGAGCCAAAACGGCCCCTCTTGTCTGTTTTAGCTCTCATTGTTAGCCAATATGGCTAGCAATTTCAAAATCCAAAACGACCTCATGGGGCCAAATTGGCCCGTATATTTCTATTTTGGCACCAATTGTAGAGCAAAAACAACCGTCATGGAGCCAAAACGGCTCTATTGTCTGTTTTAGCCCTTATTGTTAGCCAATACGGCTAGCAATTTCAAAAGCCAAAACGACCTCATGGGGCTAAAATGGCCCTTTTCTTTTTACTGTGTACGTATGAAAGCGCAGTAATACAATAAGGACCTCCAGCACTCATTGGGGGTAACACAACTTGCCATACTCCGACTTCTTCCCCTCCTACATGAAGATTTTTACAGTGACAATGATTTTACCGAGTCTTGCCAATTAAAAAAAATGTACGAACATAAAGACGTTTATAAAAATGTATATCTTAATGTGTAAGTATGTAAATTTGTGAATAGTGCACGTGAATCACTGAACCAGTTAAGCTAAGCAAGATCATCCCTGTCGACTTTATAAATTTCATAGAAGAATATTGCCTTATTTACGTTTTATTGAATTACTTCTAAATTAATATGAAGTATTTGAACGAGTATTTTCCAGATTTAAAAAATTAAAGTCTTAATCTTAATTAATTCTTTTTCAACCATGTTCTTTACTTGAAACGACATCCTCACCTTTTTTGACGCAATACGTATTGATTGGATGTTAAATACAAAATTTTCAGAGAAAATAAAGCTTATGACATCATCATTGTACATAGTACTGTTACAATAGTAGCATACTGTTTTATTTTTATATATTTCATTGTAAGTTATTTTGATTTTGTAAGTTTTTGACACATGGCATAGTACGCTATAAGTCATTTTTTAAGCTTAAGCAATTTATTGGCTACTGCATTGAGATTGATGGCCTCAATCGCATAGAACTGATGTATACAGCCCCATGCACAATTCATCATGTTCTTGACAGTTACATGGTTATAAACATTAATCATAATGTGGCTAAAACTTATATAGTTAGTTTGCTGTTGTTTCTAATCTTGTTTTTAAAGCTATTATGGGTGACGACCTCAATGAAATTGTTTTATGTGATGATACCAAGATAAACGTTTGTTTTCTTCATATTAAGGTTTTTGGAATTATTATATTAGAATCAATTAATTATTTGACTTTTTATCTGAGTTACTTCAAGCACTGCCAGAATCTTTTAAAGTTATTTAAGTGATAAAAGCGATGTTTTACCAAATAATAAAATGCAACAACTAACAATATTGATAAAATTAAAAGCTGTTTCATGGATAACTCAAATATTGAGAATGGAATTAATAATTCTACCCACAGCAGATAAATGATAATTAGAAGTTGGGTATTCTAAAATGATACATCGTACCTAGGCTATAAGCTTATATCTATGATACAATTTACAGCTTACACGAATAATACTCATATTGAAATGTGAAAATTGCAACGATACTTAGAGTTATAAAGTGTTAAAACAATGAATGAAATATTCACAATTTTCTTCTCTTTCGATTCAATTTTACAAAATCAACAATAGCATGAAGTCTAATGCACCATTGTAATCTTTATGCACAAAATGTTCTTAAATTCATCAGAATTTTGCTTTTTATTTAAAATGTGCGAAAACATCGTCTCTTTTATTCCGCCGCAGGCGCAGAAAACTAGCTACTATGCTATACTGAAGAGTCTGCCCATCTGTCATTATTCTTGGTAATGGTCGAATATACAAACGAAGACGAGTATTACGATTTAGTGCATTCGTGGATTTCTCGATAAAAAAATTACGGGCTGTTTTCTCATTTTAATTGCTCGATTGCTCCCAAACGGTATGCTTTTAGGACAATCTTATGACATGAAATTAACCTAAATTGCGAAATTGCCATTGGGCAAGCAAAGCTCTGTTTGTAAATGGGTTAAAAGTACAATTTTATAATTTAAGTAACCAGACTTGATATATTATTGTCATATTTGGTACCTTTATTTCTCAATTGTGCAATATGATGGAAAGTTTACGGCATTTAAACTTGTACTGTGTAATATTAAAGGTCTTAATAACAATTCGTCTAAAGCGCTTGATACATGCCAAACTTAGTGTAATAAATACAATGCTACTCTTGCATGTGTGGAGCGTTCGTTTTTATTAAGAAAAAATAGCAATAAAACAATACTGCCAAAAACATACGTATATTTAACAATTATTGGATGAAGTTTAGCATGATACCAAGTATATTTTTCAACCTTGTCTGCCGAAGCAAAGTTGAGCTCAGAAACCTTGCTATAATTTAATTTTTTCAAAACCGGCTTTTAATCGCGTTAACAATTGTAGAAACTATTATTTGCAGATAAGACGTCATACTTAACAATACCAGCAATTTTTTCGTTTGTATGACGTCATAAATAAAATATTAGGAATTCTTTGCAGACCAATGAAGACCGAAATTGTTTTGTGACTGGTGTCTAATAATATTTTATATTGCCAGTTGTCATCTTCTATTCATAAACATGTAAACTCGAGCTCAATTCATCGTATGGGCGAACGAATTATCATGCTTTTCAAAAGCTTTGCTAAATTCAGTCAAAACTAAAAAGCTTAAGATATTGTACAGTATTCGTATTGCAAGTAATAACGCACAGAAATATAGACGATTGAGACGCTCAAAGTCATAACTTAGCACAATGGATAAGGATCACACGGCTGACTTAGTATATTTATTAACAAACCCAAGTTCAAGATTATACATGGAGCATGCTACTGACGATTTTGATTCAATCAATTGAAATCAGAGACACAATGCTCTTTTATGTTTGTTCGGGGAAATTTTGCTAAAAAGCGTTGATAGCTATGTATACCTTTAAAATATATTTAAAAATATATTGTTGGATGTTTTATAAACTGTCTTTAGAGGCGCAATCTCGATAATTGGGGTGCAAATATTCATATATTCGTATGTTTTAATCTTTGTTAATCCATAACCACAATTGATTTCAGTGGAAGCTAATAAGATAGAACATGCACATATGAACATTTGTCCCCCCCCCCAATTCTCGAGATTTCAAGGCCTCAAGTTATGATATCACACAGGGGCGGATCTAGGCCATGGCGAAAGTGGCTTGAGCCACGGTCAGAATTTTTGCCACTTAAGTTTTTGCAGGGTTGACTTTTCATGATTAAAAATTTTGCTCAAATACAGCAAAATTCGATCAAAAGCAAAAATTGAATGAATTTTGTAATTTTTTGTCAAAACGTCTTGTTAAACGACGACGTCTTGTTAAAATAGTATTATGATCCAGTTAAACTCTGAACTGTAAAATCACCGAAAGCGTCTCGAATCTTGCCGAATACGCCATTAATATGCTCGGAATATGTTCGTAAATTCGAGCCTGCAATCTCAGAATGAAAAGCCACGGTCAGCGTTCAAAAAATTTCGCAATAGTTGCTAAATATAGTAACCTTCAGCCACGGTGCAGCGTTTCAAGCCAATCACAGGGAACGTTTTGGTCATGTGCGCCACGGTGAGCCACGGTGAATGTATTTTGATTGCGCAATAAATACAAGTCATATGCAATAGCTCGATTCTTGTCGACTTGAAAAAACGCTACTTCTAGTTCTACTCAGCGATTAGGATCAATGGAAACTTCTATAAAGATCGATGTTCTTGAAAAGCTCGTCCAAACCTTTCAGCAAGAGAACGCTTGCGAAATTATTTCTGGTGAATTGTCTAACTTGAGACAACACTGTGGTAAAATAATCAACGAGGAAAGACTTCGTCGTATAAATTCTACTGGCGATATTATGCTACGAACTTGTTCATTTTCAAAACTGCTGTTCCCTGAAAGCCAAACTGAAAGATCAGGACCCAATGTTCCTGTTAGGTAAGAATTTACATGTATTGGGGTATTAATTTATATTTTTATTTACGTTTGACATCTTGGCCTGAAATATATGATCAATCCGTTAATTTTCAGCTATTCATATTTAGTGTATCATGTAAAATATATGTCTAAAGCTGTCATTATTTTGCATACTCAGTCTGTCTAATGTACGGCCTAAATAATTTTAATTGTTACTGTCTGTTAAAAAAAAGTGTTTTACTTCAATGTTAGTCAAAGCTAGTTCTTTTTAAAATTTAACCCAATCAATAATGTATTATCCTTGTATTCCTGGCATTTTATGTTATCCCCTGGTTAAAGAAACTAACATATCATTTTGAATAACTGTTACTTTCTTTCGCGATTTATATAGAATATTGATGCTATAGTAGATGGAATCAATAAGTCGTCTGAATCCTGTTCGACATGCCTAGACTAGTTCAAAATCTTAGACTACCTGCCTGTGACTTTGACTTTATCATGATGTTACCAAATTAACACAAAGACAAAATAACTTTCTCAATTTCAACATTATTAGTCTATCTTTAACAGTATTGGTTACCCTTATTTATTCTAATGTCAGAGTCAGTCTAGCAGATTTGTTTCCAGGTATAACTTGGTATAACAAAGCAGCCATTGATACTTAAATACTAATTTTTCTTTTAGTACTTTAGCCAATGGGAATTGTCTGTTCAATGCATGTTCTATTGCATTAGTTGGGAATGAGACTCTATTTACTTGAGATTCCTAACTAGTGTTGAAATGTTTGAGAATGCAAAATACTATTCTACCCATCCTCTCATCGAGTCCCAGCATAAAATGGTGCGTTCACTTCACTTAAAAATGCCTTTGCCATCTGTA